GGGGGGGGGCAACAGTGGGAGGGCTTCAAGTGTCCTGGCCCCACTGGTGGACCTCCTGATGGCACCTGGTATTTTTGGCCACTGTGTGACAGAGTGTTGAACTGGATGGGCCATTGGCCTGATCCAACAGTGGCTTCTCTTATGTTCTTATGTTATGTTCTTAACATGATCTTGACCCCCCAAAAAACAATAGCCATAAAGTGAAGAAGATAAGCCACGCTGATGGAGGCTGTGTGTTAGAAAGGAAGGGAAGAGAGAGGAAAAGGGAAGCAGGCCACACAAGACTGAAGTCAGCTCCTCTCTGTCTTCGGTAGAGGGGGAGGAAAGGTTGTCCTGCTGGACTTGGACCTCTCTGGTGTGTTCTGGTAAAGCTGGGTTTCAGCTGGTGGGGAGGGGAATGGAACCTGGTAGTAATGATGGGCAGAGAGAGGACACCGGGGCTTCCAGGGATTTAAGCATACTTTTGAGAGAGAATTAAACAGTGGCCTTTTGACAGCCAAGAGGAAAAGAAAGCAAATTGTGAAGTTTGGGCTGTATCAGGCAGTCGACTCACAGTGTCACTTCTGTTTCTTTCCTTACTGAAGAGTGAAGCTATCAGAGTGATTTGACAGCCCTTTTATGGGTCTAATGCACAGCTGCTTATTCAGTATTTTTATTTATTTATTTATTTATTATTAGATTTATAACCCGCCCTCCCTGGAATGGGCTCAGTTTAGCCCATAGGCTGTTTGCAGGCTGCTCAGTTGTGGTGTGCAGGTGGCTTCCCATTTATATTTGAGCATTTTAGGCCACTTTTCTCCCCAGGAGTACCCAAACTAACTTACGGACAGGAAGAGGTTCTATATTACAAAAATATACGAACAAATTTAGGCTGGCCTGCGTCCACCAAGCTGATTATCCTAGGAGCCAAGGGCCCTGTTTCAAATGATGTGTTATTCTGGAGTGATTCTCTGAACAGAATAGAGGACTGAGAGACCAAAGAGCCACAGCTTGCACTGGTGCTTGTAAATTGGAAAGTAGAAATCTTGAGCTCATTAAAACCCCCTGGGTTTTGAATGGTATGTTTTGCATGCATTTTTTGTGAATGGAAATGTCTGCTTGCCATCTAGAGTCTTCCCCAAGGTCACCTTGTATCAGTAGGGTCATCATCCTAGATGTTGGATGGCTGCAGAATAGGGAAGTATCAGACTAACCCACAATCCAGCACATGCCTTGTGATGAACAAGATACAAGCAGCTGAAGCTGTTCAGAAATGAGTCATCCTCTTCATATTATGGGGCTGTTGTATTTGAAATTTAGTTTATTTACTTCATATATACCCTGCCATATATATCCAACGGGGGCCTAAAGTAACTTGTATAATTCTCCTCTCTTCCATTTTATCCTCACAACAACCTTGTGAGGTAGGTTAGGCTGAGAGTATATGACTGGTCCAAGGTCATAGGCTTCTGTGGCAGAGCAGGGATTCGAACGTGGGTCTCCCACATCCTCATCTGGTTCTCTAGCCACTACACCATACAAACGGCACCCTGCTGTCAGCTGTTGTGTTTTCAGTTGTGCAGCTGCAGTTTAGTTAATTCACTTCGGCAGCAAGCCATAACTTGCCCTTAACATTCAGATTCCAAACTCTGATCCCAGTTTAAAGGGGAAGCGCAGCCTGATTTGGTGATTTGGACATTACAAAGAGGTATGGTTTCCCCAGAAAGAAGAAGCCTTGAATTAGAAGTATATGGCTTGGCATTGCACCTGAACTGAGCCAGTGATAAAAGAAGTGCATTTGAGCCCCCTGATATCCTGCTTGGGCTATGTACATTTATTTGCCTCATTCATACCATGTCTCTTTCCCCAGTGGGAGCCCATAGCTACTTGTCTCTTTCTCTTTTCCCCCATTGTATTCTCACAACAGCCCTGTGAGGTAGGTGAGGCTGAGAATGTGCGACTGGCCTAAAGTCACCCAGCAAGCTTCTGTGGCAGAGTGGGGATTCGAACCTGGGCCTCCCAGATCCTAGTCCAACATGCCCATCGCTTATATTATATTTTGCTTACATTTGTGTAAGATTCAAATGCTAAGTATGTTTATTATATTTATTATTATATTATAATTATTATCATATGGCATTGTGTGTCGAATAGTCAGGAGATCCTAAGATTGTCTGGCAGCCAGAAGTTGTAGCTTTTTAAGCGTTATGCACCACTAGGTGGTGAGCTAGACTTGTTTTTAAGGCAAGAGATGTTTCAGAGATGGTTTACCATTGCCTGCCTCTGCATCATGACCCTGGTATTCCTGGGAGGTTGCGCTTCCAAATACTAGCCAAGGCCAGCCCTGCTTTGGTTTCCAGATCTGATGGGATCTGGCTAGCCTGGGCTATCCAGGTCAGGGATGGATCTAGTCTGAACTCTTTTTGCCCTCTTTACAGCCCCCCCCCCCCCAAATTCCATATCACTTTTGTTTGTATCCCACTCTTCCTTCTGGAAACTCAGGATGACGTACAACATTCTCCCTACCCCATCTTTTTTGCAACAACCCTGTGAGGTTGTAGCTCTGGTGACTACTAACGTTCCTGCTTCTCTCAATTTTTCTTGGAAAAAGGGAAGAATCGGAGGCTGAAACAAGCAAAAGAAGAAGCCCAGGCTGAAATTGAACAGTATCGCCTGCAGAGGGAGAAGGATTTCAAAGCAAAGGAAGCTGCGGTTGGTTAAACTCGAACTTGCTGCTTTCTCTCTCCCATCATTTTCCCTCCATTCTTTTATTTGTTACAAGCCTATGTTGCCAGTATTTCCTGTCTGAGTCTGAAGTTGGCTTCCGTACAAGTTGTGAGCATACATAAACAGCGATTGGTTGATTTAAGATCATGTGCAGTTTCTTTGAAATCACACCCTATACATTAATAAAGCAGCAGGATGTACAATTAATGTAACAGTTAGAAAGCCCTCTGAAATAGCACTGCCTGTCATCTCTCTTAAAGGAGGGGAAGGACATTCTAGCCCTCATCTCACATGGCACTTCATTTCAAGGAAGGGGAGCCACCACTGGAAAGGCCTTAGACAAGTGGCACTGTGGCAGTGCAAATATGCCACAGTGCCACACAGAAACCCCAAAAGACAACAGGAACAACATTTATACAGGCCCTGCCCTGTGTAAATTGATGGTGCAACCAGAAGTCCAGGGATGTAGCAGGTCAGGCCAGGGTAGAGTTGGGTAGAGTTGACTCTCTCTTCCCCCTCCCAAGCAAGGAAGGTGGTGTGCAAAGCAACACCACCAACCTTGCAGGCTGCACATGCATGCAGCAATTTGCTGAAACTGCCCCCCCCCCGTTGGTCTTTTGGGGTTTCTATGTGGCACTGTGGCATGCTTGCACTGCCACAGTGCCACTTGTTCTGGAGTGTGCCACTTGTTCTCATGGCAAACAAGCACCTCCCAAGACAGTTCACTTTCCCTGAGATTCTCTGGGAGAGTCTGACTGCTGGGTGCTGCCTGCTTGCCTGCCTTAAGTGCTGCGTGCTGGGTCTCCCCATTGGAAACAATGGAGGTAATGGGGGTTACCTGTTTGGGTGCCCATAGAATTGAACCCACTGGTCCACTTGCTTTGGTACATGGGGGTTTATGTGGGGAGAGGCTCCTGAAGCTACCCTGAAAATTTGGAACCTCTCCCTCAAACCCCCTTCCCCCAGAGTTACTAACAGCACCATGGGAAAAAGTAACTTCCCCCCCCAACATAGAGAACAATGGAGGGGATGGGGGCAACCTGTTTGGGGGCCTGTAGAATTTGACCCCCTGGTCCAATGTTCTTGAAACTTGGTGGGTATCTTGGGGAGAGGCTCCAGCATCTACCCTGCGGGTTTGGAGCCTCTCCCTCAAACCCCCTCCCCTCCAGTCCCCAGAATATACCCTATGTTTTTGCCATTGACTTCAATAGTCCATAGGATATAATGGGGCCGAATTGCTGCCGAATTTTGGCAGCAATTCGGCGGCAAGCCAATTCAGATCAGAGAATCTGAATCAGCCCGCAGCAGCCCGAAAGGGGCCTGAATGGGCCATTTTCGGGGGTGCACAACCCTGTATGTTGAAAATTAGCGAGGCCAGATGTGCTGTTCTTTCATATGCGAGGCTACTAAAAATGGGGACTCCCTCCACCTACTGCCTGAATTGGTTCAGCCCATTCTGCCAGATTCAATCTCATTCTGCTGCGTATCGACGTGTTTGACTGTGCTAAGCCATTTCTGTGACATTCCTGTGGTGTTCCAGTAGACCCATGCCTGTTTCTCTCCAACATGTGTCTCACGCTGCCGCTTCTCTGTTTTCTTCTCGTTGCATTAGGCTCTTGGCTCCCATGGCAGCTCAACCACTGAGGTGGAAAAGGACACCCAGGAGAAGATGATTGTCCTCCAGAATAACTTCCAAAAGAACAGGGAGGAGGTCCTGACTGCCCTGCTGGACTTTGTCTTTGACATAAAACCAGAAATCCATGAGAACTACCGCATTAATGGATAAGAGGAGCACCTTGGCTTTCAGGAAGTATTCAGCAATATCAACTCTGTGTCTGTCAATACTCTTAGCTGTACTGGTTCGTTTTTGTTTTTGTTTTTTGTAAAAGATCTTAACTTATTTCCGAAAAGGGTTGTAGATAATCTTTTCACTGAAATCTTTCACAAACCCTTTTGTACCATTTTTTTGGGAGTATATCCAAAGTTATCCTAGTTCTGTCTGTCCCTAAAGTGCATTATGGTGGGAATTCAAAGCGACAAGTGAATGGTGGGTGGCTTCCGATAAGTATTAGGCTTGATATTTTGTGTCCAAGAAGTATTTTGGGAGTTGAGAAGGCCAGAAGGTCTGCCCCGCGCCCCCCCCCCCCCCCCGTATACCTCTTAACTTGTAACATATGAGACCCGGATCCTTTGACAACTGGTAACCCCTACCATGCCTGTAGAGAGAACTAGAGTTTGTATGTAAGGCTGAATATCTTACCATAGAGGCTAGAGCCCAGAGAAAAACCATTTTGTGCACTAGTGGAAGAATTTTGAAGTAGGTTCTGTTTAAACAATCATAGTCTGTATCCTCCTGTTTAACTTGAACTAGATGCCTAACCTCAAAGGTGCTTAAAGACAAGTAAAGCTCTTATTTAACCTGGAGTTGGTTTAAAGTTGGTTTTTTCCCCCCTTGCCTCCAGTCTCTTCCTTCCTTCCCCAGACTAATCCCAGGAGCAGCTAGAGTAAACATATTATGGCTGGGGTGGGGGGGGGGTGGGGAGCCCGTAACAATTCTTGACATTCTTGCAAACGAGAATTTCCTTGGCTTTGGGAAGGTTTGGGCTAAGGATTGCTCTTTCCTGTATCATTCTTCCCCAGTTCCAGTGGTATCAACCCTACCCAGTATGGTAATTGTCTTCCCTGTGTTGGAGGGGACTTGGGGGACGATTGTTATCTTAATTTGGGCTGATCGAGCAGAATGTACAGATGTCCATGTGCCTGTGTGGATAGGCAGATGGATGGGTGGACAGACCTGGGAATAGGAACTGGGTTTTGTTCTGTACAGGATTTTGCAGATGGCTGAAGTAGCATGTGTCTTGTACTACTTTGCTGTTCTGCAAAACCAGTGCTGATTCTCCCCCCCCCCCCCAAGTGCTAAAGAAGTCACAGAAGCTACAGGGTGATGTCGTCTGTGGTGAAGGTAAATGTCTGACAAACAAAGCTGAAACTTGTGGATTCGTTTCGCTTTTTGTGTTTCTCGGAGACAAAATGCTCAACCTTGACAAAATACTAAAATCCTTGGTTTTCTTCTGCAGAGTTGTGACCGTGAATGTATGAAGCTGCCTTATACTGAATAGAGGACCGCTGGTCCATCAAGATGAGTATTGTGCACTCAGACTGGCTGCAGCCCTCCAGGTCTTTCACATAACGTGCTACCTGATCCTTTCAACCAGAGATGTGAGGGATTAAGCTCTAGCCCTGAGCCATGGTCTCTCCCTAAAAAGCACTGACCAGAAACAGAGTCCCCGTGTTTTCCATGTATTTCGGGGTTTTTCCATGTTATTTCAAATGCTCAAATGCTGTGTAGATGTACATTGCCTACTCTGCAATCCTAAATGTGCCTGTTCTGCTGCCAACAGTGAACTTGTCACAAGTGTTTAAAATCTCTCCTCAGTAGCTGGAAGCCATTTTAGACCTTGTCTCCTTCCTTTCTCAGTGAAGCCTATGCATAAGAAGTAAAAAGAGAGAACTGGCCATACCACTAGTTCCAGCAAAGGAGGGCGTATGGCTCAGTGATAAACTGTCTGGTTTGCAAGCTGAAAGTCCCAGATTCAATCTCCAGTTTAAATGGATCAGGCAGCAGGGGATGTGAAAGACCCTGGAGAACTGTTGCCAGTCAGAGCAGACGAGTGGCCCCCAGCCTTTTTAAGCCTGCAAGCGCCTTTAGAAATCTGACATGGAGTGGTGGGCACAATCACGAAATGCCTGCCACAGGAGATGGAGAATCACAAAATGGCTGCCGCAGGTGAACCACAAAACATCAGGGAGTGAAGGAATACATAAATGATGGCAGCGATTAGACATTTCAGGCAGAGACCCCTTGTTTAGCAAGGTGCCTTTTAATCTGCATAGCTAATGAGAAGCCCTGCTGGCCAAATGCCCCACCTGGCTCTGCCCACTTTCTAAAAGCATTTGGTGGGCATGAGGAATGGTGTCAGCAGGCACCATGTCACTCATGGGCATCATGTTCGGGACCCCTGGAGTAGGCAGTCCTTGGCAAATAGAAGGGGAAGTCATGGAAGCAGTGACAGACTTCACGTTCCTGGGATCTAAGATTACTGCAGACGGTGACTGCAGCCATGAAATTAAAAGACGCCTGCTCCTTGGGAGGAACGCGATGGCAAACCTAGACAGCATGATAAAAAGTAGAGACATCACCCTGCCAACAAAAGTCCATACGGTCAAAGCAATGGTATTCCCAGTAGTCCTGTATGGCTGCGAGAGTTGGACTACAAGGAAGGCCGAGCGCCGAAGAATGGATGCTTTTGAATTATGGTGCTGGAGAAGACTCTTGAGAGTCCTTTGGATTGCAAGATCAAATCAGTCAATTCTAAAAGAAATCAACCCTGACTGTTCCCTGGAAGGCCAGATACTGAAGCCGAAGCTCAAATACTTTGGCCAACAAATGAGAAGGGAGCACTCACTGGAGAAGACCCTGATGCTGGGAAAGACTGAAGGTCAAAGAAGACGGGGACGGCAAAGGATGAGATGGTTAGACAGTGTCATCGATGCAACGAACATGAAACTGAGCCAACTTCAGAGGACGGCGGAAGACAGGAGGGCCTGGCGTGATGTGGTCCATGGGGTCGCAAAGAGTCGGACTCGACTGTGCGACTGAACAGCAACAACAACCAACTTTGGGACAGGTATCTGCAAGATACACTCCTTAGCTGTGGTAGGTAAAGGACAACAAAGCCATTCGGTCAGCCATAAATAGTTTCAAACGGGGATCTCTACTTAATCATGGGGTAGGGTGGGGAGTAATTTTGGAATCATCACTCTTTTGGATCCTAGTAGGCCTCAGGGGTATGAGCAGGTTAATTCCCCACTACCCCTTCATTATTATTTTTAACAGACTCTCCACTACGCTCAATGGCCTGCTGAAACATATTCAGTTCTCTTCAGTCTTTGGCCCTTTTCCCATTTGCTTAATTTACAAAGTCATGTTTTTCTGCTGACCCCCCCCCCTCCCCAAATGTGTTAAGGCCCTTCCCTTCTCTCTGGTGGTCTGGTTTTGTGGCTTTTGTCGTCCTCAGCAGAATCAGCCTTTTGGGCCCAATGAAGGTGACAGAGCTGCCATCCCAGGTGTGCCCCCACTGCCTCATGGGGGTCTTCTCTGAAGGAAGGGGGGCATTACATATCATTCCTTTTTTTTTTTTTGCATCTGCACTGACAGAGGCCACTGTGCAGCCGAGTTCCGGGAAGGAATGGCAAGGCATTTCTTCTCCCCAGCCCTCTGACAGTCTGTCTTGTGAACGAAGAGGGTTTGGGTTTTTTTGCTTCTTGGTATTGACAGCCTGCTTTGTTGTCCTGTCTCTCTCCTGCTGAAACAGGCAGCAAGTTACTGCAGTGGGGAGCCCAGAACTGACAATAAGGCGAGTGAGGCGAATGGAATGGTTTTTGTTCTTTTTGTGCTCTGGAGTGGTGGAAATGGGTTACAGCAGTCGGTGTGTTGAGAATGAGTCCTTGCCACACAGCACAAATAGCCTTTGTCCTTGTTGCAGTCAAGGCTGGTGCTTTGTGGATAAATGTGGGTATACCCTTTCTCGTGCCAGACAAAGAAGCGACTGTATCTGTGCTTCTGCAGATAACTGGAGCAAGTCTGTACAACACAGTTGCATGCTGTTAAGCCAAGTTAATAATGGTTTGAGTATCAATGCAGGCAGTGAAAACTTTCTGTCATCCTCTCTTTTGTACCACCAAACCCCGGGGGTGGAGAGAGGAGGGTCCAGTCAGGAGTAAATAAAGCTTCACATCTGCTGAACACGTGCTGAGTAGCCTATCATCTCTACTTAAGGCCTATGTAAGAAGAAGCTTGTCTGCTTCCTGGGCCTTTCCCCAGAAAGCGACTAAGGCTGGAAGAAAAATCATCAATATATCTTATTTCTCAACATGGCCCCATCTGTGGATACTTAAATCTGGAGCCTGGGGCCATGAACAGACAGGTCTTTCTACACACCTGAACATTTTCCCAGATTTCCAGAACAATCTAAAATCTTTTTTTTTAAATCCCCCCCAAACCCAAACTCTTCAATTGGGGGGGGGGTTAAAACACCCCCAAATAATAGATGCAGCGCATGTTAGTAACAAATGCCCTCAGTGTCTGTTGCTAGGCAACGACAACAGTATTGCCAGTTGTCAGATCTCTTTCAGTCGGTAAAAGGCGGGGAAATGTGTCATGGCCCTTTTGAGGGTGGTTTTGGCCTTTGAGGGAGGACTAATTGGAGCCAAGCCAGCAAACAACCATTGGCCTACTTACTATTATGTGACTTGCTACTATGTGACTTGTGTGACTCACCCAGGCCCAGCTACTTACTGCTGTTCAACAGCAGCCACCTTATGAAAGCCAGTGTGGTACAGTAGTTAAAGAGTGTCAGACGATGATCTGAGAGACCCAAATTTTGTTTTGGTATAGTGGTTAAGAGCAGAGGATTCTTAATCTGGAGAACTGGGTTTGATTTCCTACTCCTCCACATGAAGCTGGCTGGGTGACCTTGGGTCGGTCACAGTTCTCTCAGAGCTCTCTCAGCCTCACATACCTCACAGGGTGTCTGTTGTGGGGAGGGGAAGGGAAGGAGATTGTACGCCGCTCTGAGACTCCAAGTGAAGGTTGGGGTATAAAACCAGCTCTTCTTCTAAATCCCCACTTGGCTTTGGAAGCTCACTGAGTGACCTTGGGCCAGTCCTATATTCTCAGCATAATTTACTTCACGGGATTATGAAGATAAAATGGAGGCTAATGGTGTAAACTGCTTTGGTTCCTCATTATGAAGAAAGTAAATAATAAATATAGCTGAATGGGGACCAGATACAGGTATGCTGGTGGCTGGGTGGGAAGGAGAGAAGAAAACAGGCTATGGGGACTTACAATGAAGGGGAAAAGGGAATTGTGTAGTAGGGAAAATGAGATGTCTCCTGCAAGTCCTTGCAGGTCCCCAATTTCTATAACCGAATTCTGATCTCTTCTGATTAGAATGTTAGGAACACAGTGTAAAATTTCAGCATAAACTCTGGTGGACTAGGGCCCACATCTTCATATGCA